TGCCTGGCTGTTATCAGCTACACAAAACAAAATCATTCCACAGCACTGGGATCTGCTGGAATTCTGCTTTGTGTGGAAGGTGCAGACATTCAGCTCTGAGATTCCCTGGAGTGTTCTGAAATCCTTGGAAGTGTGGCAATCCCATTCCATTCCTGTCCTGGGACAGCTTTGAATCTTCCAGGAATTCCTTTAATTTCCTTATTCCTTATGGAATTCTTCTTTGTGTGGAAGGTGCAGGCACTCAGCTCTGAGATTTCACATTCCCTGGAGTGTTCTGAAGTCCTTGGAAGTCATTCCCATCCATTTCCAGAGCTCTGGAACCACTTGAAATCTTCCAGGGATTCCTTTCATTTTATTTATTTTCTTTTTATTTATTTCCTTTTTATTTATTTTTCACAGATCCTTATTCCTGCCCAGTTTAATATTAAATACTGGGATCAGCTGGAATTCTTCTTTGTGTGGAAGGTGCAGGCACTCAGCTCTGAGATTCCACATTCCCTGGACTGTTCTGAAATCCTTGGAAGTGTGACATTCCCATTCCATTCCCATCCTGGAACAGCTTTAAATCAGCTTTAAATCTTCCAGAAATTCCTTTAAGGCTTTTTATTTCCACACTACAGATCCTTGATCCAGTTAAATATTAAATCCCAGCACATCCTCCTGCCTCCAAGGCCTAAACTGGGGAGTGCAAAACCCTCTTTTCCTTCCTTCCAAGCCAAACTYTTCCCAGTGCAGGCCCAGATTTTTGGGAATTGACTTTGCCCTGTCCTTTTTTCAATTTCAGATCGTGAAATTTGCCCGAGGCCTCCACGCCAAAGTGTCCCCAATGAACGACGTTGACATCGGTGTTTATCAGCTGATGCAGAGCGAGCAGCTGCTGTCACAGAAGGTGGAGTCCCTTTCCCAGGAAGCAGAGAAGTAAATTTGGGGAAGGATGGTGGGAATAATCTYTGTGGGGTTTAGAATTCTTTAGAAGCTGTTTTTTTTTGTGTTTTTAATTCTTGTTCCTAAATAAAATGATCCCAACTTCGTGCTGGGGCAGATTTTCCAGCCTTGGTTCCTTGTCCCTGTGAAAACGAGGTGTAGAGGAATGTTTGTGAGGATTTGGAAAGGAATATTTGTGAGGATTTGGAAAGGAATATCTGTGAGGATTTGGAAAGGAATATTTGTGAGGATTTGGAAAGGAATATTTGTGAGAATTTGGAATGCAGTGAAGGATTTGTGGGAATCAGTGGATTAAGGGTGGTTGTAGCCAAAATTCACCTTTTTGGTCCTCTCAGAGCAAGGGAGAGGGTGGAAATTTGGAAAATCACCACTGCTGGCCAAGGAGTAAAATTCCTTTTTTTTTGTCTTTCAGGTGTAAAGAGGATGCCAGGAGTGCTTGTAAAGCTGGGAAAAAGCAGTTGGTGAGTGGAACTATCAGGGAAATGTCCTGGACCTGCACATAACACCCAGGGGTTTAATTTTTGGGGTGATAAAGTGGTTCTCCTGAAGATGGAGAGAAGGATTTTTTTTCCCAGAGTGAGCTGATGAAGGGAAATGGAAATGAACTCTTAAACCCACTTGTTCTGTGTGTGCCTCAGGGATTCCTCATTTTTTGGGGTTTTTTTCTGACCTGGGTTGGAAGGGACCCTGTCAGAATCATCCAACTCCAGCTCCTGGCCCTCTTTTTTTATTATTTTTTTAAAATTTGGCAGTTAATTTTTTTTTTCTTTTACACGATAATTTCTGAACAGATTTTGCACCAGCACAAACACACATTTCACAACCTTTCTCWGCTTTTTCCAACTTCCAACATGACCCAACAGTCTACAAATACCTCTTTTTAAGCTGCACAAAATTCCACAGTGATTCCTTTTTTTTTGAAGGAAGCTTCAACACCCAGGAAAGTGAATATTTGGAGATGCCAAGTGGAATATTTTAGATTTTTCCAGMGTAGGTATCCAGAACTTTTCTGCTGGATAAATCAACCAAATTGTCCAGGATGAATCCCATGGAGGGCGCTTGGCTGTTCCCATTTTTCCAGCAGAAAATTCCCATTTTTCATCCCGGTTTTCCCATGGCATCACTAAGAATTATCAAACTCACCAAAGTGGGGATAAACCCAGGGAAATGAGGATTTTCCAGCGGTGTGTGTGAATCTGAGCTGATGTCTCTGTGTGTTTTTTCCAGGCCCTGAGGTGCCTCAAGTCCAAGCGGAGGACGGAGCGGCGCATCGAGGAGCTGCACTCCAAGCTGGACGCGGTGCAGGGAATCCTGGATCGGATCTACGCCTCGCAGACTGACCAGATGGTGCTGAG